TGTGCATAATTTTTTCCAAATTGGGCGTCTGTTATCCAATCATTTTGAAACTATAATATGAGAGTAATTGTGGAGCGGACCAGAGCAATATTCCGAAAACTATTCTCAAAAAGCTCCAGCCAAATTTGAAATATTTCAAAAACCCTACGCGTCTATAGTTTTGAAACGGACTGTAGACATCTATTTAGTCACTCACAAAACAGCCATTGTGCTAAACCGATCTTTAGTTCTCTATCAGAAGTGCGCGATGTCATCTCTCTCCAGCTATACATAAAGCGGTACAAGCACGTGCATTCCTACACATGCGTACATAGTACTAGGGGTGAAAGGGGTGATTCGGGTACCTGGGTGCCCACCTGTTTAGCTGCTGATCCGTTAGCAAACGAGTACCCGTTAGTCGTGAACGAAGGTACAGTACAGGTTTAATAGCTGGCTTGGACAGTCGTACAGTTCGACTCACAGTTGGAATTTGTTGTTGGTTGTTTGATCTTGCTTCATATGACAATTTTGACTGTTTTGCATGTAGTGCTGTATGTGCATGCTGTGATCGTTACAACGCAGTGTTTTTGCTGTGAATTACATGACTTCGCATGTCCTCCTGGCTCGAAATGCGGAAGGCTATTGTATAGTAACTTTTACCATTGGCCGCTAACCGTTTGATGATGTACCCAATAACCCGCCCGTTAAGCCACGTACCCGTTTGAAACCTTTGATGGTAATCGTTTCATCCCTACATAGTACTGCATACAACTGCATGTCCGATATACGAAGACTCCCTCAATTTAGGCTAAGGCCCTTGGAGAATCCATAAATACAAATACAAATACCAATACAGTCAGACCTCGCTTAACCGCACACATCCGCTTTCCACAAACAATATGCGGATAGGCGATGGGACCGGATAGTCGAACACACATACTGTACGTATGCACGACATAGCTGTAAATCGGTGAACAAGGGTTTCTGGATGGCGAGGATACCGGATAAAAGAGGACCAGATAAGCGAGGTCTGACCCTAGATATCTACAAGCCCTTCATGTTTGTTGATGTCTTGACACTACACAGAGGAGCGAGATTTGAAATTGAACAACATAATATTAGTAGCTACAAAAAGAAAATCCAAAGTATCCACCTTGTGCGTTCTTTGTTCTCTGTCACGTCCTCTTTGTAACTGACACGAATACCTTGTGTGTACTTGTACCCGCATTTACACCCAAACAGGCAACCACATCATTCAAATTCATGTAACTGCACGTTGGAGTGGGATAGAAAAGAGAGACAGAGAGAGAGAGAGAGTGGGAGAGAGAGAGAGAGAGAGAGAGAGAGAGAGAGAGAGAGAGAGAGAGAGAGAGAGAGAGAGAGAGAGAGAGAGAGGAGGGAGAGACAGAGAAAGAGAGACAGAGTAAGAGACACAGAGAGACAGACGGTGAGAGAGAGAGAGAGAGAGAGAGAGAGAGAGAGAGAGAGAGAGAGAGAGAGCGAGAGAGAGAGAGAGCGAGAGACAGAAAGATACAGAGATACAGAGAGACAGGAGAGAGAAAAAAGGAAGGAGCAAGATAACTACTTTCGTTGGTCAGGATGATGAATCCAGTGTGGTGAGCGTACTTTTGACAGAATGATTCGAATTTTATCAGGAAACACACTTTTCCAACAAACTAGCTTTTCTCTACTATTGTTCCACTTTGAGCAATAGTATGAATGTGGTCACAAAAACTTACTCTGACACTCTGGATTGTGACTCCATTTTCCACCGCCAGAACAGACGACTGAAGATACATCCGATAAGTTGTAGCCAGTGTTACAGTACAGGATTGCTACGGCGCCAATGGACTGATTATGTGTGAGAACCATGCCGTTGTCAGGAGTTTTTACTGGATCGCAATAGTCAGATATAACTGCAAGAAGCAATCGTGGACAAGAAACCCTGATGAGATATAATATATGGCCCAATATCTGAGAAAATCGACCTTCGGGGCTGTTTTGGTGAAATTGATTTTTTTATTGCAAATTGATGTCTTGCCTTTGTAGAGTATTGTGACTTCGTTTCACGGCCATAAGACCAATATTGACCATGTAGAAATGCACTCTACAGTCAGGAGTCATGTTAATGAATTTTTCTTTTTTTACAATTTTGAAAGATCAGTGTGTTTGGAGTCACCAAAAATTGTTTCCATGTGATATCAATCGCCAACTGATATAGTAAAGTGTTTTGACTGTTCAGGTACTTCATTTCCAGCATTCAGTGACTTTATTGAGGTTGTGTAGTTGCAACAGCAGCAATATCAGCATTAGAAGGAGAGGTGATTTATCTGTTCTCCTGGTGATGGACATGCTTGACAGGATAGTCTGCAACAGATTTTGACGGAACACCATGATACACGTAACAGCATTCACATACTTATTGTGAAGGAGTCAAACAGAGCAAATGCGTCCAGATTCGCCTTGTTGCACTTTGTGGAGACTGACCATTTCCAAACATCAGTAACACAGCCTGACAAGCGTTTCACACCACCAACTCAAAAGTAACAGAATGTTACTCGAGATTGCCCAGCCTCATGTGCTCCGTGATGGTCTGATTCGCCATTATTAGCTCGAGTATCGAGCTTCCCATCCAAAACATTTTAGGATCATCGTCGCAAAGAAAACTCGCATCGTTTCGTGCTGTTTTAGCAGGTCTGGCGTGACACTCAGGAAACAGTTCTGCCACTCGTGCAAGGGCGCCCAGCGACTTTGCAAGCGGCGTACCCTCAGGAATCCACCTGGTTATCCTTGCCTGGAGCTGTAGCAGCTATCGCTGAGGCAGACTGTGGTTGGCCTTGATCATACTCATCCAGGCCAAGTCCTCATCATCGTCGCCGCCCGACAGGTACCGTATTTTCCGGGGTATAAGCCGCACTTTTTTTCGCTAAAAATCGGACCAAAATCGCCCCTGCGGCTTATACACCGAATATGCTTGCGCGAATGAATGCTTAGCATACATCAGTATGCATGCTGACGTCATGTGACATGTCATTCGACTCAGCTTCGCGCCTGTGTTGCTGATCAACATCAGTGGCAGCGAGACTGAAGATAGTGCAGATGACATGGCGTGATCTGTAGTCAACCATGGTCAACACAGCAATACACCAACATCTCTGCAGCAACCTGTGGTGCACTAACACTTCATAATTTGATCTAATAAGGTATTTAGCTCAATAACCATAATAAATTTGTAGAAAGGCCATTTGTCAATGAGTGTGAAAAATCTTGGTTTGTGGGTGCGGCTTATACTCCGAATATCAACTTTTAGTCAATATTTTGCCTCAAAAAGGGGGGTGCGGCTTATACCCCGGTGCGGCTTATACCCCGGAAAATACGGTAAGTACCGCGTGTCACTTGCGATCGATTCGCCTGACATGCGCTCTCAGAACTAGAAGCGCTGTCGCCGCTTGACAGGATATCCACAAAGAACGATGCGTCACCGTCCAAGGTATCGCGGCTGCTGTGCTCCGTGAGCCCAATATTGGCAATAACCAACTGACACAAGAATCGCCTTCAAATTTCTTCCGCCATTGTCGTCTCTGCACTTTGCTTTGACGGAATCGATTTTTTTGCGGACAAATTTGTTTTTAGTGTTTTCTCAAAAAACCGCGTAGCCCCGAAGGTCGAAAGTCTCAGATATCGGGCCATATTATTCTGGTTGCGCTATGCAGAGCTCACTGACTTGGCAGTTTGAGCACTGTAGCAAGGTACTTTCGGGCCTGGCCTAAATAACAATATCTTTGGAAAATTGAATTTTTCATTGCTATCAGGTTCGGCCTCATTTCCTCTGTGCTGCGCTGATGAGCCCACAAAAGACGAAACAATTCTGTCCGAAGATCGAGTAGAAAGATCAGGGATGAATTTATTCGGTATCGCATCGCAGTTTGCGATGCAAAATCGATCTACTGTTACTCAAAAATTGCCACGACTAGCAGAGAACTGCAGTCCATATCCATGCATGGCTTGCGCTGTCAAGTCACATACGTACAGCGTCATGTAGGTGGTACGCACACATGTACTCTCAATTGGCGTGCACATGCATACATGCTGCAAGTTGGGTGGTCAAAAATCAAAGACTGCTGTACAATTGAAATTTAGCAAAGCAAAAACTGCGTTGCAAAATATGGCAGTCAATTCATCTCTGAAGCTAGACAGATAAATAGATGAATGGATAGATAGCATATGCAGCAATCGCATGTTATTGAATAGCAACACATTTTGCAAATTGACTTTTTTCAGCACCACTTTTCAACAAGGACGAAGTAAAGTCAGCTGACCAAAGCCTTTAGGAAGAGAATCATTCTGTCCACTTTACCATCATGATTCTGACATAGGTTCGCTACGAAACAACTTCAAATCCTCCAGAAAACTGTGCGCCCATCGCCGCGCTGACTTTGGTCTGAGAATTCTATAACCATCAAAATGTACAAGGAG